GCTTTCTAAATTATTCCAACTCTTGGGTTTCAGCCTGTCTTTGTGTCTTTTATTGTATAAAAATTGCCAATTTTAGGAACAGCTTCTTCATCTACCTGAAAGTAAAAATTGACAGAATTGTACCCTGGCTCTTGTTGGGGTCAGTGCTTTTCTCCCTGGTTATCGGAATAATTGTCTACGATATTACTGATGAAGTTTTATGTAAAAACCTCAATTTCACCTGCCAAGGAAGGATCTGGAAAGCAAGTATCAGCACAGAAGACCATTTTTTCCTCCATTATTTTATCTTTGGTTTTGGATATGCCATTTTGTTCACAGCAGTCATCTTGTCTGCCCTTCTCCTTCTCTTTTCCCTCTGGAGACACAAACGCAACATGCAGACAAACTCCATGAAGAACCTCAGCATGGATGCCCACATCAAAGCCATGAAATCTATTCTCTCCTTCTTCATAACGTACAGCATCAACTTTGTATTTTTGATCTTGACACTGATTTATGCAATGAAGAGCCAAAATCACATGGTCTTTCTTTTTTATGCATTTCAGTACGCTTTTCCAGGTTTTCATTCCCTTATTGTGATTTTCAGCAATCCCAAACTGGAAAAAACACTGCTAACAATTCTATCCTGTATGAAATGCAAGTTTTGCATGAAGTAGACATTGTAAAAAAAGCTGGACCCTTTGCAAAGTGTAGATATTTGGTTATAGCAAACAAATCCATTAATTTCCAGTGCAACTCTCCAGCCAGTGTAGATGATACAGATGTTCAGAATATATCATTCAAAGTCTTTGAACTAATATTTCTGTGATTTAAGTATATTATTATTCTCATTTAATTTAGGTAGTTTCCAGAACTAAATTACTGTCAATAGCAAAGTCATTCAGATCTTGTATACACTGACTGACTGCAAAAGGGCAATAACAATACTGCAAACCTGCCACATATGGTTTGGCATCTGTTGATTGAAAAGACTGAACTAAACAACAGGTTTATTTCAATTTTGGTTTGAAGGTCTTGCTGCTGTGGCCCTGTCCTAGTGTAACATGATGAGCTTTATCACTGTCTGGCAGTGGTTGATAACTGATGTGTGAACACGTTGATCCCTGTCACTCTCCACAGGTGGTCACTGACACACAAACAGTGATGCAGGAATGGCCGTGGGGGGCACAGGTGGGTGCAGAGCCCACTGCCCACACCAGCCCTGAGGATCCTCTCTGCTCCACTTCTTGCTAGAATACCATTACCCTGCTCTGTATGACTGCTCTCCTGCTCTGCTTTTCCTTGTTTGTGTGCATCGTGCAGCATGGAATGGGGGGCTCGGGCCAGGTGCTGGCAGCTGGGGGTCTGTGGGGGTCTCAGCAAGGAAAGGGCAGGGCTGCCCTGTACCAGGGAAAGCCACTTGAAGGCGTTTTTCCAAAGGACCCCCCACAGGACCCCCCACAGGACACAGCTCAGCCCATCAGCAAATGCTCAGGGCTCTTCTGGAAGGATGTACTGAAGAATGGGCCAAAACAGACCTGGCAGTGTGGAGTGAGGAAAATTGTGAGAATCAGTCCTGCAGCAAACAGGGACAGGGAAGGACAAAGAGGGGTTGCTTCATGTGCTGGAGAAGCGATTCCCTTACAGCCCGTGGAGAGGACCATGGCGGGGCAGCTGTGCTCCCTGCACCCCATGGAGGTCCACAGTGGAACAGAGATCCACCTTCAGCCCTTGGATGACCCCACACAGAGTAGCTGGGGTGGGTGAATGATTGCAGCTCCTGGAGCTCTTGCAGCTCATGGAGAGCTCACACTGGAGCCAGTTTATCCTGATGGACTGCAGCCCATGGAAGAGACCCACACTTGAGCAGGGGAAGAGAGTGAGGAAGGACTGAAGCAAACAACTTGTTATGAGCTGACTGTAACCCTCATTCCCCATCTCACTGTACAGCTGGGTGGGACAAGAAGGTAGAGAATCTGAGAATGAGTTAAGTTGAGCCTGGGATGACTCGGGGGTGGGGACAGGCTGTTCTAGTTTTGTGTTTGTTCCTCTTCCTCCTACTCCCTTTTCAATAGGCAATAAATTCAACTGATTTTTCCCAAGTCAAGTCTGGTTTGTCTGTGACAGTAATTGGTGAGTCATCTCCCTGTCTTTTTCTTGACACATGAGCTTTTCCATCCTATTTTCCACCCCTGCCCTGTTGTGGAGTGAGAGTGAAGGAGCATCTGGGTTGAGGGTCTGACAACTGCTCACAGTCAACCCACCATCACAGGGCCTCTAAACGTGAAGTAGACCAGTGTTGAGAAACACATTCAGTGCAGACAGGTCAGTGTGCAACTGCAGTGAGAGCTGCAGGTTGTGTGGAAATGGAGGGAGCCCCAGGCATGGTGCCAGTACCTTGCACAACAAAGGGCCCAGGGACCTGTGGCACCAGCCAGGTGACTGGACACGCAGAGACACAGCAGGAGCAAATGATTCAGAAGGAAGACCCCAAAATAGCATGTGCATACACTGGAGGGGTACAAAAGCCCAAGCTGAGAGTCCCTTCTCAGAGGTCCCAAGCTCAAGCTGCTTCTCTGTTACTGTGCCATGATTAAATTGCTTTAAAGATCCAGACGTCTGAGACTCTGCTGTGGGAAACCCAGTGTGCAGCTGGTAAGGAAACCTGGTCTGACTCTGGAGGTGTGGTGTATGTAGGTCCTCAAGTGGGGCACCTGTGGGCTCACAGGAGCTGCCCCCTGCAAAGGGGTTTTGGTCCCAACAGTGAAAGTCTCTGGTGGAGGGGTGGGACTGCCAGAGTGCCTCCTGGATGGGGAGACAGGAAAGTTTCCTTAGCAGCAGCATGAACAGAGCAGAACCTCAATTGTTTCTTTATGTCACCAGCTCAGGCGGCTCAGGGGGATATTTTACCTCATACCCAAGGCCAAGGTGTGCACTTCTCATAATATCACCTTCAAAAAGCTTCCTCCCTATCCATGAAATGAGAAAAACCATTTAGGCCAGAGCAACTTCTCAACCACTGTGATATCCCCTTTTCCAAACACAGTCTATCAGATTGCCTCACTACCAATACATCTCTTTAAACAGCAACTCCCCAGAAACTAGCAAATAAATAACTAATGCCACTTTAGAACATGGAAGCCCTCCTTCTGTGCCTAAGCAGGATTTGAGGTTGAATTAACATTTCCGTAACAAGTTCATAACACCTTCCCAGAGGAGATTTTTATTCTCTTTCCCAGGATTGTATCCTGAAACAATTGTGACCTTCTGAGCATTGAAGTTGAGTTATGGATGGAATGGATTTGCCCAGAATAAACTGGGCATCTAAGAGCCTAAGTAGTTAGCGAACCAAGGCAAACCATCTGGGATTTTCTACAATAAAGGGGAAAGAGAAGGATTATGGAGAGGGTTCGGCCACGTCTTTCAGATCCCACATACACATGTCCACCCAGATGCAGAAACAGAGAGGTCAGGTGCCATTTGAGATGCACAGGGACATCCAAAATATGCACATGGGCTGGTAGATACAAAGTCTGGGAGATTCCTTCCCCTTCTTGAGTGGTGCTGTGGGAGATGGACTTGCGTTAAAACCAAATCCTTGTACTTCAAGGACATAAGCCACACATTCTATTTATTGAAAACCCAGCATTGAGACTCTAATTTATACCCTTATATTCGTTTTAAATTGTCAGATTCTCCAGACAGAGCTGAGTCTAAACCCCAGCCACGGTACGATCTGGTTGGTGTAACACTTTCATTTAGTGTGCCTGTGCAAACACAGCCCCAGCACAGACATTTAATCTTCAGACCTGTTGTAATAGAAATTACTTCTTCTCATATACTAATGGAGAGGAGAAGAAATAAAGTAAGAAAATAATAAACTAGCAAAAAACCATCCAACCTTACAACACATTTTCTATTCTGTCAGTAAAAGCACAAGAAACTCAAAGCAAAGCATAAAGAAGAGAACAGGCAGTATAAGTGATATGGTTTGAAGCTCGCTCACTGCCAAGTCTCCAAACCTTATCACAAGAAGTTCCCCCTCTCCCCCAAACCTCAGGGAGAAGAGGGAGAAAAACAACCAAGAAAAACTGAAATGAGAAGGACAGCTAAAGCAATATATATATATAAATGTATTTACACTTATGTTACAGTTATATACAATTGAAATATATATACAGTTTCACAAGGGAAAGGGAAGGAGGAAGGGAAAAGGAACAAAACCAAAATAGAATATATATATCCCGATTAGCAGCCCAATATCTAGCAACGAAAAGAGTTAGCAAAGAAATATCTCACTGCTCTCTTTGGGACAACCGAGAGTTGCTCCGGAACGATCGCCGGCAACCTTCGCCTCCCAAGGTCGGCAAGGCCTAACCAGGCCTCGCTCCCGAACATGGCAGACTCAACAGCAGGGAACGTGCACCTCCAAGCTGCCGGAAGGAAAGAGAGTGAAGGCCTTTCCTCCTTTCTTCTTATAGCCTGGCTTACGTAAAAATCGTAGAGAATACTGGGTAAATCTGGACCCTTCCTTGGTTACAAACTGGTCACCAAGGAAGGCCTAGACCAAACTACCACAATGAGGAAATGAAAATTCTCTCAAGGCAATGCTCTGCCTAACATCAACCATTATCAAAAGAAATAATATTTTTGAATGACTGTAGCCAAAACTAATGTGCTTATTGTAGGCAACCAAGGGACACAAGAGCCCAGACCCTAAATCCTCACAAGGATCAAACAAGGGTCACCCACAAAATCACAACCCTGTCCTTTGCACAAAAACATCTCCACTCTTTGTGCCACTCAACACAGCCCTCCTGAACCAACATGCAAATCCTGCACACTGACACTGACACCGGGTAAGGGGATACTCAGCACATTTACATCCCTGCACCTGCCCTGCTCTCAAGACCAGAGGCACCAAAATCCCCCCACCAGCAGCTCTATAAAGCTCCTCTTTCCAGACCTGACACTCAGGCAACAGCAGACGCTGACCTGTGTTTGGCATTGGTGCAACAGCCCCCTTGTCCAGCACAGTACTGCTCCCAGCTCCCAGGATGGAAGTTTGTCACTCTCCAGAGCAATCCAATGACACTTCATACGCTGACACAACTGTGGCCATCATCATTACACTTGAAGTGTTTGCTGGCATGTGGATAAATGCTTTCATTGTTTCTGTGATTTTTGTGACCTGGATCAAAAGGAAAACCTTGAACTCTAATGAGAAGATCTTGCTGTTTCTGGGATCCTCCAGGTTTTGGTATTTATGTATTGCATGGGTATATTCAATTTTTTTAGTAATTTATCCCAATTATCTTTATGTTCACCGCATATTTCAGCTACTTAATAGTGCTCAGAACTTTTTTAGTTATTCCAACTTGTGGTTTTCTGCTTCTCTTTTTGTCTTTTATTGCATAAAAATTGCCAATTTCAGGAACAACTTCTTCATCTACCTGAAAGTAAAAATTGACAGGATTGTGCCCTGGCTCTTGTTGGGGTCAGTGTTTTTCTCCCTGGTTATCGGAATCATTGCCTACAATGTCATGGATAAAGCACTCAGTAACAACTTCAATTTAACCTGCCAGGGAAGGATTTGGAAATCAAGCATCAGCATAGATCAACATTTTTTGCCTCATTTTATCACTGGTTTTGGATATGCCACTTCATTCACAGCAGTCATCTTGTCTACCCTTCTCCTTCTCTTTTCCCTCTGGAGACACAAACGCAACATGCAGACAAACTCCATGAAGGACCTCAGCATGGATGCCCACATCAAAGCCATGAAATCCATTCTCTCCTTCTTCATAATGTACAGCATCAACTTTATATGTTTGATCTTGATTCTAATTTATTCAATGAAGAATGAAAGTGACTTGATATTTTTAACTTACTTAATTCAATACACTTTTCCAGGTTTTCATTCCCTTGTTCTGATTTTCAGTAATCCCAGTCTGGAAAAGAGACTGCTAGGAATTCTGCCCTGTGTGAAGTGCAAAGTTTTCCTCAAGAGGGAACTGTAAGAAAACCCAGAGCCCTTGCAAAATGCTGATATTTCTCTGTAGAAAACAAGTCAATTGATTTCTAACACAGCACTCCCGTCAGTGTAGATGATAGAGGTGTTCATCTTTAGGGTTAGGAATACATTATTAAAATTCTTTGAATTAATATTAATAGCAGTAGAATAAATTATTATTCTCATTTATTTTGATAGTTCTTGGAGCTGAATTGCTGCCAATAACAAAGTCATTTAGACGTTGTACTCATGGATTGGCTGCAATTCTGCAAACCTGCCATAAATGCTTTGGCGTTTACTGACTGTAACAACTGAGCTAAACAACAGGTTTATTTCAATTCTGGTCTACATTTCTGTTCCAGTAGGATATGATGAAATGTCTCTGGCACTGGTTGATAACTGTGTAATATGTTGAGCTGTATCACTGTCTGGCAGTGGTTGATAACTGATGTGTGAACATGTTGATCCCTGTCACTCTCCACGGGTTGTCACTGATGCACAAACAGTGATGCAGGAATGGTCGTGGGGAGCACAGATGGGTGCAGAGCCCACTGCCCACACCAGCCCTGTGTGACCTCTCTGTCCCACTTCTTGCCAGAATAAGATTGCCCTGCTCTGTGTGACTGCTCTCCTGTTCTGCTTTCCCTTGTTTGTGTGCATCGTGCAGCGTCGAATAAAGTCCTGCTTTCAACTGGCACTGACCCACAGGCAGATGTACGGGGGGCTTGGGCCAGGTGCTGGCAGCTGGGGGTGCATGGGGGTCTCAGTGAGGCAAAGGCAGGGTTGTGCAGGCTGTGCCAGGGAAAGGCAGATACGGGCACTCCAGTGGACAAAGCATAGGGCACAGCTCAGTCCATCAGCGATGGTCGTGGTTCCTCTGTGAAAATATATTTCAGAAAGGAGAGAAATACGGCCGGGCAGTGCGGAGTGAAGAACAATGTGGGAAACAGTCCTGAAGCAAACAGGGCCAGGGAAGGAAGAGGGGGGGTTGCTCCACGTGCCAGAGTGGACATTCCCCTGCAGCCTATGGAGAGGACCATGGTGAGGCAGCTGTGCCTCTGCAGTCCACAGAAGTCCATGAAGTAGCTGAGGTCCTTCAGCCCATGGAGTACCCCATGGCAGAGAAGGTGTGGTGGGTGTATCCTGAACGATTGCAGCCCATGCAGAGGCCACTCTGGAACCACCTTATCCTGAAGAACTGCAGTCCATGGCACGGACCCACGCTGGAGCAGGAGAAAAGCGTGAGGAGGAAGGAGTGGAGACAGCTCAATATGACCTGACTGTAGACCCCATTTTCTGTCCCCCTGCATTGCTGTGGAAGAGGAGGTAGAGACTCTGGGAATGAAGGAGTGAACTTGAGCCTGGAATGAATGGGGGGAAGAGGCAAAGGGTTTTAGTTTGTCTTTGTTCCTCATCACTTTATTTTCAAATGGCAATAAATGTAATTCATTTTTCCCTAGTTGAGTCTGTTTTGTCGGTGACAGTAACTGGTGAGCAATATCCCTGTATTTATATCGACCCATGACTTTTTCAATCTTATTTTTCACCACCCCTTTATGCAAAGTGGGAGAGTAGGAGCAACTGGGTGGGTGTCTGACAGCTGCCCAAGGTCAACCCTCCACAGCAGGTTATCTGTACATGAAATAGTTGAGGAATATGTTCAGTGAAGACAGCTCAGTGTGCAACTACAGTGAGAGCTGCAGGTTGTGCTCTGTTTGGCAGGAAATGGCAGGAACCCCAGGCATGGAGCCAAGACCCCAGGCTATTACGTGCATGCACTGGAAGGCTGAAAAAATGCCTGAACAGCCCTTCAGAGAAGCAATTTTTCCCAATATCCAGTTTAAATCCCCCTGGTTCACCTGGACTTTGTTGCCTCTTGTTTTGTCCTTGTGGCCTGAGAGAACACATTTGGCTACAATGTCCTTTCAGGCAGTTGTAGAGAGCAATAAAGTCCCCCCTGCGCCTCCTTTTCTCCAGGCTGAGCCCCTCCAGCTCTCTCGGGTGTTCCTCATCGCATTTGTGCTCCAGACCCTTTCCCAGCTCCATTGCCTTTCTCTGGACTCACTCCAGCATCTGGGGTTTTTCTTGTCATGAGGGCCCCAAAACTGAACTCAGGATTTGAGCTGAGGCCTCACCAGTGCCCAGCACAGGGGGACAGTCACTGCCCAGGTCCTGCTGCCACACTATTGCTGACACAGGCCAGGTGCCATTGGCCTTCTCGGCCACACCGGGCACACGCTGCCTCATGTTCAGCCTCTGCCAACCAGCACCCCCAGGGCCTTTTGCAACACACTCTGCCCTAGCTTGCCAACCACTCTGCCCCAGCCTGCAGTGCTGCAGGGGATTGTTGGGACACAACTGCAGGACCCGGCACTTGGCCTTGTCAAACCTCACGCTTCATTGTCCTCAGTCAATTGATCCAGCCTCTCCACATCCCTTTTGCTCAGCCTTCCTACCCTCCCACACACCAACACTCCCACACCACTTGGTATCTCCTGACTAAGGGTGAACTCGATCCCCTCATCCAGGTCATTGATAAAGATGTTAAACAGAGCTGGCCCCAACACTGAGCAATGGGAAACACCACTACTGATTGGCCACCAGCTGGATGCATCTCCATTCACCACCACTCTGGGCCCGACCATCCAGACAGTTTCTTACCCACTGAACAGGGCACCTCTCCAAGGTACAACACACCAGAGCAGAAAGCACAGAACGGGCCAAGGCAGGAAAAGAAAATTCTCAGTGCCCTTGGGTGGATCTCATCTGGCATCACAGACTTGGGAGAGTGTAGGTGGCACAGCAGCTGCCCCCTGGTTTATGGGGAATTCCTTCTGCTCCTTGTCTCTGTCTTCCAGCTCAGGGTGTTCAGTACCCTGAGGACAACTGCTCTGACTGTTGTTATAGACTGAGGCAAAGAAGGCATTAAGTACCTCAGCCTTCTCCTCATCCTTTCTGGCAATGTTTCCCCTCACATTCAATACAGGATGAGGATTCTCCTGGGCCCTCCTTTGCTTGTTAGTGGACTTGTAAAAACAATTCCTGTGATCCCTTATGGCAATGGCCAAATTAAGTTCTAGTTGGGCCCTCCAGCAACATCATCAGCTATCAAAAGAAACTATAGTTTTGCATGACTGCATCCAAACCAATGACATTGATATTTTCTTGGCAATACAAAAAATAAAGGGTGCTGATGATCTGATTAGAACCTGTATTAAAAGCCTACAAACTGTCTGAATGGATTTCATGGGAACGTATGGCAGGCACCATCTTTTGCTGTTGAGATGATCTCCAGGCCTTCTATAAAAAGCTTTCCATGTGTCAGTGCTGTAACAAGGCCCTTCACAAAAACATGTAAATAGGAGCATGTGATAAGAATATTGCCATGATACAGTGGTTGCATTTCTGTCCCCCAGAAAACAAGAACATCATCATTCTGAAGAGCTAAAATGCTCCTCGTTCATTTCTTGTAGCACGAGAGGTATTTTCTGTGATTTGAATTGTCCTTGGTTACACCATCAGCCAAGATCTTGTTGGTACCTGTGTTCCCAGTGTGCAAGGTTCTGTACTAACCCAGAGTCCAAGGGCACTCAGTGCACCTCATGATGAATTTTACCCTTTTCCTGCATATGCTGAAACCTAACCCTGGAACAAAAATCCAGCTTTCCTTTCAGTGCCTCCTCACTTAGTAGCTATTCACTTAATCTGCAGATATTATCATGTGGTAAAATTAAATGGATTTCAATGCCTGTGAAGGATCAAAAGGAATTCCAGTTACAGCAGCTCAGATAAAATTTGTAGCTCCTGGACTCTGGGATGAAAGAGCACAGTGACTCCCCTGACTGTGCTTTGCTGAGAGCACACCCTGCTCACCAAGAGCATCACTGGTGGCCAGGGGAAAGAAGAACCCAGATCCTAAATCCTCACAGGGATCAAACAAGGGTCAGTCACAGAATCAAAACCCTTCTGGCACACAAAAACATCTCCACTCTTTGTGCCACCCAACACAGACCTCCTGAACCAACATGCAAATCCTGCACACTGACACTGACACCAGGTAAGGGGATACCCAGCACATTTACATCCCTGCACCTGCCAGGCTCTCAAGACCAGAGGCACCAAAATCCCCCCCACCAGCAGCTCTATAAAGCTCCTCTTTCCAGACCTGACACTCAGGCAACAGCAGACGCTGACCTGTGTTTGGCATTGGTGCAACAGCCCCTTGTCCAGCACAGCACTGCTCCCAGCTCCCAGGATGGAAGCTTGTCACTCTCAAGAACAGTTCAATATCACTTCATATGATGCCACAGCTGTGGCTATAGTGACCCTTGAGACATTTGCTGGCATGTGGATAAATGCTTTCATTGTTTCTGTGATTTGCATGGCTTGGGTCAAAAGGAAAATCTTGAACTCTAATGAGAAGATCTTGCTCCTTTTGGGAGGCTTGCTCCCAGAAGGTTTTTGGTTTTGTGCTTCTCATGAGTGTTTTCATTTCCCTCAATAATTTATCCCAATCACCTTTATGTTCACCCCATATTTCCACTAGTTGTTTCTACTCAAAACTTTTGTGATTATTTCAACTTGTGGGTTTCTGCCAGTTTTCTGTGGTTTGTGCCTTTTACTGCATAAAAATTGTTAATTTCTCTTAGCAAGCCCTGAGAACATGACACCCAGCACAGCATCACTGCCCTGTGCACCAGCCCCACTCAGCTGCACCTGGAGGGGACACGTTATCCACCAGCACAGCCACAGTGCACAGCCCACATGGAGAGATGCCCTGATGTGCCCAGCCTGGGGAAGCTGACCCAGAAGACAAGTCACAGGTCAATGGGAGGGGCTGCCCAGTGCTGGCAAGGTATGGAAAACTGCTTTGGGTCACATTCCAAGTTTTCAGGATTGAGAAGTGAAACAGTTAAAAATGCTTTTTCCGTGCAAGTGTGTTGATGAGCAGAGGGACAGCTCAGGAGTGACCTCAGTATAACAAAACTCAATAGTAAATGAAATAAAAGCCATCTGGAGAGCTGGAGAAAGTCAGCCTCTTCCTAAGGCAACTAATACAGGGCTACATTTCAGGCTGGAAGGGATGTTAAATTTCCTCTAATTCCAAACCCATCGACATGGTGGGATAGAAGGGTCAGGAAATTTCCCTCCATAGCACCTGTTTGTCAGAGCATTCCTCTCCAGCTCTTAATGACATCAACAGACTTCTGTTAACAGCATAAGCCCAATCTACACTCTTGCTGACATTGATTTAGATCGGCAGTAAATACCAGTAAGAAAACATCACTTTGATAAGGGTTGTTCAGTTCATCTTCAGACCCTCTGCTATTGAAATAACGGATATTCTCCTCACAAATATATATGCAGAGAGGAAGAAGAAAACAAAAACAAAAAAGTCAAAAACACCCAAACCCTAAATCTACACCATGTTTTCTGTTCTGTCAGCAAACCCAGAGAAAATTCACACTAGAGCATAAAGCACAAAACAGGCCACGAGAGAAAATGAAAAATCTCAAGGCAGTGTTCAGCCCTCCATCAACATTGTCAGCTCTCAAAAGAAACAGTATTTTTGCATGACTGCATTCAAAACAAGCCGTGACACTGGCATTTTCTAGGCAATATGAAATAAAGGATAATGAAGTTCTCACCAGAACTTTATGAAAAATGCATGGATTGTCTGAATGTATTTCAATGCAATGTGTGGTAGGTACCATGTTTTCTTGTTGAAATGAACACCAGGACTTATGTAAAATCATTTCCATGTGTCAGTGCTGTAGTGAGAGCCTTCACAAAAACATGCAAATAGAAACGTGATAGGAGTATTGACATGACATAGTGACATGACATTTATGTCCCTAAGATAAAAGGGCATCATCATTCTGAAGAGACAAAATGCTGGGGGTTTATTTCTTGTAGCCATAGAGCTATTTCTTGTGACTTCATTTTTTCCTGGTTACAGCACAGGCCTCGTTGGCACCTGTGGTCCCGATGTGCTAGGTCCTGTAGAAACCCAGAGTCTAAGAGCACTAACCTTGCCTATTAAAAAACCAACAGCTTTCAGAATTTAAATTAATTTGGAAGCTTGACAGGATTTCGGGGTGCAGGGAGCCCAGCATGGTCTCATCCCTAAAACTCTTCCCATTGCCAACACATGAGATTTGAATCCTGGTACAGAGACTCGTGCTGACTTTTATCCTTTTCCTGCACATTCTACAACTTAATCCTGGAAAAGAAAGTCCTGCTTTTCATTCAATGCCCTCCCACATCCCCTATGAGGCTCTTCACTAAACATTAAGGCATTAAGAGTGGGGAAACTAACAGGGATTTCAGTGCCTGTAGAGGATCAAAAAGAACTCCTGTTATCCAGCATCTTAGTTGAACTTGAGAGCTCCTGGACTCTCAGATGAAAGAGCGCAGTGATTCCCCTGACTGTGCTTTGCTGAGAGCACACCCTGCTCACCAAGAGCATCACTGGTGGCCAGGGGAAAGAAGAACCCAGATCCTAAATCCTCATAGGGATCAAACAAGGGTCACCCACAAAATCACAACACTGTCCTCAGCACAAAAACATCTCCACTCTTTGTGCCACCCAACACAGCCCTCCTGAACCAACATGCAAATCCTGCACACTGACACTGACACCAGGTAAGGGGATACCCAGCACATTTACATCCCTGCACCTGCCCTGCTCTCAAGACCAGAGGCACCAAAATCCCCCCCACCAGCAGCTCTATAAAGCTCCTCTTTCCAGACCTGACACTCAGGCAACAGCAGATGCTGACCTGTGTTTGGCATTGGTGCAACAGCCCCCTTGTCCAGCACAGCACTGCTCCCAGCTCCCAGGATGGAAGTTTGTCACTCTCCAGAGCAATTCCATATCACCTCATACGCTGCCACATCTGTGGCTATAGTGACCCTTGAGGCATTTGCTGGCATGTGGATAAATGCTTTCATTGTTTCTGTGATTTGCATGGCTTGGGTCAAGAAGAAAACATTGAACTCTAATGAGAAGATCTTGTTGGTTTTGGGATCCTCCAGGTTTTGGTATTTGTGCGTTGCATGGCTATATTTCTTTCTTTCAACAATGTATCACAATTACAAATATGTTCACCCCATATTTCAACTACTTGCAGTTGCTCATAGATTTTTTAATTGTTCTGAAGTTTCTGTGTCAGCCTGTCTTTGTGTCTTTTATTGTATAAAAATTGCCAATTTTAGGAACAGTTTCTTTATCTATCTGAAAGTAAAAATTGACAGGATGGTGCCCTGGCTCTTGTTGGGGTCAGTGTTTTTCTCCCTGGTTATTGGAATCCTTCTCTTTGAAATCATCGATAAACCTGAATGTAACAATTCCACTGGTCTAGAAAATTTGTGGAAAGTGAAAATCAAGATAGATGAACATTTTCTTCCTATTTATTTTATCACTGGCTTTGGATATGCTGCTTCATTCGTGGCAGTCATCCTTTCTGTCCTTCTCCTTCTCTTTTCCCTCTGGAGACACAAATGCAACATGCAGACAAACTCCATGAAGGACCTCAGCATGGATGCCCACATCAAAGCCATGAAATCCATTCTCTCCTTCTTCATAATGTACAACATCAACTTTATATCTTTGATTGTGACAATAATTTATTCAGCGCAGGGGAAAAGTGTCATGATGTTTCTTATTTATGTATTTCAGTATGCTTTTCCAGGTGTTCATTCCCTGATTCTGATTTTCAGCAACCCCAAGTTGAAAAACACACTGCTAAGGATTCTGCCCTGTGTGAAGTGCAAGGTTTGCATGAGGTAAGAACTGTAGCAAAAGCTGCAGCCCTATGCAAATTGTTGACCTTTCACTATAGAGGACAAGTCAATTAATATCTAATAGAACTCTCCTGGCAGCGTAGATGGTAGAGATGTTTACTCTTCCCCATCTAAGTTAAGAAAACTGCATTCAAATACTTTGACCTAGATTATTGTGACTTAATTACTATTATCATCATTGAGTTTAGATAATTTTTGAGCTGAATTATTGTCAATAACAACTTCATTTAGACCTGGTACATGGGCTGGATGCAAAAGGGCAATAAGAACACTGTAAACCTGCCACAAGTGCTTCATCATCTGCTGATAAAACTATTATTAGTAACATTGTTTAGTTTAGATAATTTTTTGAGCTCAATTATTAACATTGACAACTTCATTTAGTTCTTGTATACGGGCTGGTTGCAAAAGGGCAATAACAATAATGTAAACCTGCTGCAAATATTTTGGTATTCACTGATTGAAAACACTGAACTAAACAACAGGTTTATCTCTGTTTTAGTTTACATTTCTTTCTGCTCTGGCCCTGTCCTAGTGTAATATGATGAGCTGTATCACTGTCTGGCAGTGGTTGATAACTGATGTGTGAACACATTGATCCCTGTCACTCTCCACTGGTGGTCACTGACACACAAACAGTGATGCAGGAATGGCCGTGGGGGGCACAGGTGGGTGCAGAGCCCACTGCTCACTCCAGTCCTGAGTGTCTTCTCTGCCCCACTTCCTGCCAGGACAGGATTACCCTGCTCTGTGTGACTGTTCTCCCACTCTGCTTTTACTTGTAGATGAGATCGGCTCTTCCCAGTGGAGTCTGGCTCAGTAAAACATCTGGGAAAGTGGGATTTGTGCAAGGTACAGCATGGAATAAAGTCCTGCTGTCATCTCACAGTGACCCACAGGCAGAGGTACAGGATGCTTGGGTCATGTGCTGGTAGCTGGGGACCCGTGGGTGTCTCAGTGAGGCAAGGTCAAGGCTGCCCTGTGCCAGGGAAAGCCACCTCAATGCTCTCAAAAGAACCCACCGCAGGACACAGCTCAGCCCATCAGTGATGGTCATGGCTCCTCTGTGAAAAGATAATTTAAGTGGTGCAAAAACTCAGACTGGTAAGGTGGACTGAGGAAAATTGTAAGAAACAGTCCTGAAGCAACAGGGACAGCGAAGGAAGGGGAGAGGTTGCTCCAGGTGCCAGAGCGGACATTCCCCTGAAGCCCCTGGAGAGGACCGTGGTGAGGCAGCTGTGCCCCTGCAGCCCATGGGAGTCCATGAAGAAGCTGAGATCCACCTTCAGCCCATGGATGACCCACCAGCAAAGTAGGTGTGGTGGGTGTATCCTGAAGGATTGCAGCCCTGAAGGATTGCAGCCCATGGAGAGCCACTCTGCAACCAGCTTATCCTGAAGGACTGTAGCCCATGGGAAGGACACTCACGGAAGCAGGAGAAGAGCATGAGGAGGAAGGAGTGGAGACAGCTTGTTATGATGTGACTGCAAACTCTATTTTCTGTCCCCCTGCATTCTGTAGGGGAGGAGGTAGAGACTCTGGGAAGGAAGGAGTGACGTTGTGTCTGGGATAATTTGAGGGTGGAGACAAGGAGCCAAGCTGGGTTCACAGGCACCCAGCTTGAGATGTTTCTATGTTACTATGCCATGATTAAATTGCTTTAAAGATCCAGACGTCTGAGACTGTTGTGGGAAACCCAGTGTGCAGCTGGTAAGGAAACCTGGTCTGACTCTGGGGGTGTGGGGTGTGCAGGGGCTCAAGTGGGGCACCCGGGGGCTCACAGGAGCTGCCCCCTGCAAAGGGGTTTCGGTCCCAACAGTGAATGTCTCTGGTGGAGGGGTGGGACTGCCAGAGTGCCTCCTGGATGGGGAGACAGGAAAGTTTCCTTAGCAGCAGCATGAACAGAGCAGAACCTCAATTGTTTCTTTATGTCACCAGCTCAGGCGGCTCAGGGGGATATTTTACCTCATACCCAAGGCCAAGGTGTGCACTTCTCATAATATCACCTTCAAAAAGCTTCCTCCCTATCCATGAAATGAGAAAAACCATTTAGGCCAGAGCAACTTCTCAACCACTGTGATATCCCCTTTTCCAAACACAGTCTCTCAGATTGCCTCACTACCAATCCATCTCTTTAAACAGCAACTCCCCAGAAACTAGCAAATAAATAACTAATGCCACTTTAGAACATGGAAGCCCTTCTTCTGTGCCTAAGCAGGATTTGAGGTTGAATTAACATTTCCATAACAAGTTCATAACACCTGCCCAGAGGAGATTTTTATTCTCTTTCCCAGGATTGTATCCTGAAACAATTGTGACCTTCTGAGCATTGAAGTTGAGTTATGGATGGAATGGATTTGCCCAGAATAAACTGGGCATCTAAGAGCCTAAGTAGTTAGCGAACCAAGGCAAACCATCTGGGATTTGGGTTGGACCTGATGATCTTGGAGGTCTTTTCCAACCTGGCTGATTCCATGATTCTATGATTTCCCATCATAAAGAAGAAAGACAAGGACTGTGGAGGGTAAAGAAGTTCAGCCTGAGCCAAGCTCTGATAGACACAATTCAATTTGTATGAGATGTCCCTCAAATCCCAGTACATCTGTGTGCCCATTCAGATGCAGAATCACAGGGGTCTGGTGCCATTTGAGGTGCACAAGGGCATCCAAAATATGCACATTAGCTTGTAGATATGAAGTCTTGGGGACTTCTCCTCCTTTTTCAGTGGTGCTGGAGGGCATGGGTTTGAATTAAAAGCTGCCCCCTATTTTTCAAGCACCTGATCCAGATCTTCTATGCTTTGAAAACCCAGCATTTGAGACTCTGATGTTATACTCTTATTTTTTTAAGGTGCCAGATTCTTCACATGGAGCTGAGCCCAAGCCCCAGGCACGGTCTGGTCCTGCTCATTTTACAGTTTCATGTCATATCCCTTTATAAGCAGGGATAGTAGAGAGAGGACTGGGATAGATGAAGGCAGTTCATCTTCTGACCTGTTGGAGTAGAATTAGCTTCTATTGTCCTCACACACATACAGAGAGATGAAAAAGTTAAAAACAAAACAAAACAAAACAAATAAAGAAAAACCAAAACCAACCCCCAAGTAACCCAACTAAACCAAGAAATAAAACAAAGAACTACTACTAAGCCTACACCATATTTTCTGTTCTGTCAACCAAAGTAGACTAAACTTGGAATTACAGAATAGAAACATAGAATCGTCAAGCTTGGAAAAGACCTCTAAGATCATCCATACCAACCAAGCACTGCCAAGCCCACCACTAAACCATGTCTCTCAGCACCACAGCTGCACAACTTGTGAGCTTCCAGGAACAGTGATTCCACCACTTCCTTAGGTAGCCTGGGTTGATGCCTGAACACCCTTTCAGTGAAGCAATTTTTCCCAATATGCAAGGTAAATCCCCATGGTTCATCTGGAGGTCATTTCCTCTCATCTTGTCCTTGTGGCCTGAGAGAACAGACCAATACCCACATGGCTACAGCATCCTTTTAGGCAGTTACAGAGAAAAATAGTCCCCCCTGTACCTCCTTTCCTCCAGGCTGAGCCTCTCAAGCTCCCTCAGCTGCTCCTCATCTGACTTGTGCTCCAGACCCTTCCCCAGCTCCATTGCTCTTCTCTGGACTCGCTCCAGCATCTCAATGTCTTTCTTGAATTGAGGGGCCCAAGACTGAACTCAGGATTTGAGCTGAGGCCTCACCAGTGCCCAGCACAGGGGCACGGTCACTGCCCTGGTCCTGCTGCCACACTATTGCTGACACAGGCCAGGTGCCATTGGCCTTCTCGGCCACCTGGGCACACGCTGCCTCATGTTCAGCCTCTGCCAACCAGCACCCCCAGTCTGGGCAGTTTTCCAGACTCCCCTCCCCCAGCCTGGAATGATGCAGGGGGTTGTTTTTTTTGTGACCCAACTGCAGGACCCTGCACTTGGCTTTGTCAAGCCTTGTCAGACACAATTTGCCTCAGTTGATTGATCCAGCCTGTCCACATCCCTCTGCAGAGCGTTCCTACCCCCCCTTCTCACTCCTGTGAGAAGATGGCTGGGGGTAAAAATTAGAGGAGACTAAGAATTATAGAGGAAAATAAAGCTGCTACTCCCTGGATGGAATGAGGTTGACATGCTCCATGATGATTCCCCACACAACCATAAGCATCTGGTACCAGGGATGGAATGGAGGGTGGGGCAGAGTGAAGATGCCGTGGCCTCCCTCCGTAGAAATCTCTGCAGGGATTGCAACTTAGTGGTACCTTGTAGTGAATAAGACTGCACAGTACCTGCCAACCAAGAGAGATAGATGAAGATGTCCTGCTGCTGAGCCAACAACTATTCAAAATTTCTCTCCTCAGATGAACTTGGTTCATTACAGCCTAATTGTAATATTAAAGCACACCTCCATCCCAAAGTTCTGACCACCCCTCACTGGGCATGCCCTCTATATTCTGTTGACAGTATCTTTAAAAGCAAAGCAAGAGAATTTTATGCCAATCAGAAACGAAGATATTTATGACTAAAGTAACTCAAGCTCCACCTAAACATGAAGAAATAGCATAAAAAGAAGTTGAGAATGGGGAATATATCAGGGAAGACCCAATCGAAACTGCTGGGATAAGTCAATGGGCTGAACCTGTCTTCTCCCCCTGTAAGGACACCGACTGGTTAAGAACAACACTCCACGTGTGCTAAATATTGCTAGTAGGATTGGAGCTTGCTTAACGATGTAGTATATTGCTTTAAACACGTTTTTGTAGCCAGATACTATCACCGGCAATCTTCAAACCTTAACCTGTCACAATTTTGTATTAATAATGAGTGTTATTCTGTAAACTGCTGGAGTGAGTCCTTTACAGGTCCTAGCAGTTGCCAGTAAGGGATAATACATTCAAATAAAGTGGGAAGACTGGGGTCTCCCTTATGCTGTTGGCTTAACTTCATTCAAACCAAGCTATGACATTGATGCTTTCTAAGCAATATAAAAGATAAAGAGAAGTGAAGATCTCAGTAGTATTTTTACAAAAACCTCATGACTATATGAATGGATTTCAAGGGTGTGGCAGGTACCAAGTTTTGTTGTTGAGATGAACTCCAGGTCTTCTGTGAAAAACTTTCCATGTGTCAGTGCTGTAGCGAGA